GAATTGATGTGAGTAAATCTTGAAATCTTACATATATAAGAAAATAGTTAAAATAGAGACTGGATTTATGCAAATCTTTGATGTTGGTTACCTCTGGGGAGGGGGAAATCTAAAAGAGGTATAGGAAAGGTTATTATATGTTTTAAAAGTATCTACAAAATGTGTTATAATGAGCTAATGTTATCCACAGAATACATTATTTACAGTTAATATCATCATTTATATAGGAAACTCAAAAGACTCCACAGATAAACTAGCAAGAACTAGTAAGATTTTTCAACAAGGCAGATGGAGACAAGACCAGCAAATTTTTTTAAATCAATCAGGTTCCTCTACATGAGCAGTAACAAATTAGAAAATGTAAGAGAAAGTAAGAAAAAAAGAAGATATTGTTTAAAATAGTAACAAGAGCTATATAAAGTATTTATATGAGGCTACGCTTATGTAAAAGTGAATATAACTAACAAACAGAGTATGACCAATTAAGCTCTGCCCAATCCAAGGTTAAAAAAAAGACCCCATTCAACAAATGTTAACTATCTGGAGCTCTTATTTGGTGAGAAAAGACCCTCTTCTCAAGTAGCAGCTCAATGAGCGAGAGTGAATCAAAGACACACAGCCTTTTAAAGGTCAGCTAGTCCAAGCCTCTTGATTAAGCTAAAGAAACTGAAGCCCAGGCAGGTTAGGTTACTTGGTCAGGGGCCCAACGTCCTGACTCGAACACCAGCATTTTTCACTAATTCATAAAACACAATCAAATTTGGTACCTTGGAAAGAGAAGGAAAAAAACAAAGAAATCAATCGTGTGGTTACTCATCCTTTAATGGAGAAATAGCCACAACAAAATTCCAGATTCTGAGGGGAGATTGAAGTGTAGAGTTTAAAATGTCAATAATCCAGAGGGTAACTGGATTTAAAATATTGTCGTACATTAATGATAACCACTGAATACTTAGAAGAAATGTAATCTGGTAAACAGGCAAAGTCACAAGACAATTGCAGGAGAAAGGGGGCGTCTTTCTCAAAATGTCCATCAGTAAGGGAATTGTTAATTATATTATGATTTGTTACTAGAAGTAAATAAATTGCAGTTGCCTAAAAAAGGGATAGATCTATACTAAAAATTCATATTAAATATCGATATTAAAATATCTCCAGTCAAAAATGTGAATTTTAGAATAGATAAGTATAATACAATTTATGAATCAAAAACCTCTATAAAGCTATATATCACCTTAAAACACCTACTGTGTATGTAAATCCAAAGGTCTTGAAATCAAACAGCTAATAATCAAAATCTCTAGAGAAGGAAGTAGGCTTGGGAGTGGACTTGGGGTATGGTGAAGGGGAGCTTTTATTTTAGTTTTATATATTGAATAATTTAATATCACTTGAGATTTTTATAAAGAGAATATTCCTATAATACTTTTAAATTTTAGAAATATATAGCTGTATAATACTATAAAAAATTAATTGAAATGTTTTTTATTATTTCTCTTTGCACTGGATTTTTTTCCCATGCAGTCAGCTAGGCACTCTGAGTTCATTGCATTAAGAAGGTAAAGATCCAGCAGAAATAAGTGGGAAAAAAAGGAAAACCCTTAGCTTTGGAGTATTAAAAACAGAAGCCACAGTAGAATAGGAGAGATTTCTGTGAGCAAATAATAAATCTCACCTCAATTGTAAAAAGCACTCCCTAAACTGGGAGGCAGAGGAGGGAGGGAAGTGTCAAGGGAGAGAGGTCATTGTGGCCGGGGACAGGGTAACTGTGCTTTGAGGACGATATGCCCAGGAACGGAATCAGTATCTAGAGACTGAGAAATCCTCAACTATTTTCACTTTCTGTTCTAGCTCATTTAAGTGGATTTCAGGCAGGGCAGTTTATTTACATCAACTTTATTGGAATCTTAACTGACAGTTTAAAAGATGGGCTCAAGTATGGCTTCAAACTGCTTTAAGGTTACCTTACTCTGAGCACGGCTTCAGAGCCTTACTCAAAATGTGTTTTGTCAGTGGCCCCACAGAGGAAAGATCCGATGTGACCAATACGTGCGCTCATCTTAGTCAGAAAAGCGTTCAAGTTGCAGGTCTCAATTCCCCACTTCGTGACCAGTGCAGTTCTTATGAGGATCTGTGAGCACAGCAACACTCTGAATCCTGCCTACAGGCCCTCACGTTACCCTCTCCAAGCTTTACAGGGAAGTCTCTATCCCAGTAGGAACACTCATTTTATAGCCAATATCCTACCAATTTATGTGGAAAAAACCCTAGGTGTTTGAAGCAGTCAGTGGAAGAGAGAAGTCAAAAAACATTCCAAAGAAAAGAAAAGAATTGATGTAGATGGAGGAAAAGATGCAGAAAGGGATAATTCCTGGTGGGTTCAATAGCAGGTAAAAAGGAACAAAGGTGAAGATTGCAGAGTATGCAAAGTTGTCAGAGAGTAAGTGGAATCTCCCAAATGTTGGTAAGCATAGCAGGGTAGGATAAGGCTCAAAGTCTGCATTCATTGGAATGACAGTTAAAGGAAGCCCTCACCATCTTGGGGCAAGGGATGCAAATATGCAGATGCTATCCCGGATGGAGAGGCTGGGAAGCATGAAATCAGTTAGGAAACTGGTTTATAATGACTATTGAAATAACGACACCACCAGATCACAGAACAATTGTTGATTCAGTAAAGCCCCATGGAAGACTCCTTACACATCCTGAAACAATCCATGGGACTTTGGAATTAGACTTTATTCTCTTTAAACTGACAAAAATCTCTGAAGGAGTTATCTCCTTCTAATCCCATCAGTCGTTCTAAGGCCTGGCTTTGACCCCTATTCAAATAAGGAAGACACATTATTACCCCCTCACCATTAAGACAATGGACAGCCTCATGCATCAAAATAAGTCTTAAGCCTAGAAATAAACCCATTAATCTACAGACAGCTAATATTCGACAAGGGGGTCAAGAGCATACAATGGTGAAATGAGAGTCTCTTCAATAAATGGTGTTGGGAAAACTGGACAGCCATGTGCAAAAGAATGAAAATCTTACACCATGCACAAAAATCAACTCAAAATGGATTAAAGACTTGAATGTGAGACCTGAAATCACATAACTTCTAGAAGAAAACATAGGCAGTACACTCTTTGACATCAGTCTTAGCAGCATATTTTCAAGTACCATGTCTGACTGGGCGAGGGAAACAAAAGAAAAAATGAACAAATGGGACTACGTCAAACTAAAAAGCTTCTGCACAGCAAACATTGATGTTGTTTTCATCAACAAAAGAAAAAGACAACCTAACAATTGGGAGAAGATATTTGCAAGCCGTATATCCAATGAAGGGTTAATGTCCAAAATATACAAAGAACTTATACATCTCAACAATAAAAAAACCAACAACCTAATTAAAAAATAGGCAAAAGATCTGAACGGAGATTTCTCCAAAGAAGATATATGGATGGCCAACAGGCACATGAAAAGATGTTCAACATCATTAGCTATCAGGGAAATGCAAAGCAAAACTACAAGATATCACCTCACTCCAGTCAGAATGGCTATAATTGACAAGACAGGAAACAACAAATGTGGGAGAGGATGTGGAGAGAAAGGAATCCTCATACTCTGCTGCTGGGAGTGCAAACTGGTGCAGCCACTATGGAAAGCAGTATGGAATATCCTCAGAAAATTAAGAGTAGATCTACCATATCATCCAGCTATTCCGCTGCTGGGTATTTATCCAAAGAACTTGAAAACACGAATGCATAAAGATGCATGCATCCCTATGTTCATTGCAGCCTTAGTCACAATAGCCAAGACTTGGAAGCAACCTAGGTGTCCATCAAGGGACCAACGAATAAAGAAGATGAGGTCTATATACAAAATGGAATACTACTCAGCCATAAGAAATGATGAAATCCGGCCATTTGTGACAACATGGATAGAACTTGAGGGTATTATGCTGAGCGAAATAAGTCAGAGGGAGAAAGTCAAATACCATATGATCTCACTCATAAGTAGAACATAAAAACAATGACAAACAAACACATAGCAACAGGGATTGGATTGGTGGTTACCATAGGGGAAGGGGGTAGGATAGAGGGCAAAAGGGGTGATTAGGTTCACATGTGTGGTGATGGATTATAATTAGTTTTTGGGTGGTGAATATGATGTAATCTACACAAAATTTGAAACATATTATGATGTACATCTGAAAGTTATATAATGTTACAATCCAATGTTACTGCAATAAAAAATAAAAATTAAAAAAACAAACAAAACAAAAAAACCAAAATAAGTCTTCAGTGCCTCCTAGATGCCTTTAGTTCCAGTGGGTGGTAGCAGTGGTGTGAGGATGAGGTTCAGAGATGATGAGGTCAAAAACTTAAGAGGCTAAATAAGGATTTATTTAGAAATTGAAATAAAGTCAGAACAGGAAACATCAGAGCTCATTGGCTCAAACTCCAAATACAGCGATCTCTTTCCCAAATTCCTGTTTGTGGTCATCTGGCCTCTTTTTGAGCACTGTAACAAAGCTTCACCATCTCCAGAGGCATCGACTCCGAGGGCAGCTTCAAGACTGAGAAATTTCTCCTCTGTCCTGGTGTTTCCTTGTGAAGCTGCAACTACCTGTCCTTCTTCCACGCCAGACCTGGGGAGACGTGGAAACCACCCTCCAGGCCTCTGAAGTTTCCCCACACAGGGCTTTCAATGGTGATCCACTCACGTGGTTTCCACAGCACCTGCTACTTCCCAATCACTTCATCTGAACTCAGTGGAGTTTGTCATGGTCTCATGTGAACTGTGGCATCGAGCCTTGGGAACATAGTCACCAGAAGCCTAATCAATCCCAGGAGCTTGAGTACTGCTGCTTCTGGAAAAGGCTGGTCAATATCTTTGGTGCTTATATGAAACCTCCTTCACAAACCACAAACCACAGAGAGACAGATGTAGGTGGTAGGTAGAAAGATAGATAGACAGATAAATGTAATTAAAGAGTATGTCCAGGAAAGGTTTGGAAAACAGCCTTTATTGCATATGGTATTTATATTGTCATGTGATGTTAGACTGAGTGCTGGTCTCTTCATCCTCCTCTGTACCGTTGGCATTCCATCTGCTACTATCCCCAGGGTTCTGTCTTCTCCCTGGAAGTGATAAAACAAATGAGGCAGAACAGGAAGAGACAAAAAGCGAGATGAGCTCTGCTAGTCAGAGTTACCCTTCACCTTTGTCTTAAAGCTCAGAGCCACTCACACCACAGTGAGTTTGTTTCCAGATCAATTACAGAAAAATGAAGTTTCCAGAACATTTCCAGATCTCCTGGGACCTCAATTCCATGTTTCTCCCTCTACACATTCCCCTTTCTCCCTAAAGGCTATGTCCGTGGATCAGGGTGAGATCCCAGCTCAGGCTGAAGGCTCTCAGGCCTCAAACCTCTGGTCTTCCTAGGCCCTTTGTCCTCTCTTCAGACCTCTTCTGGCCCTTGAGGCTGTGCTGTGTTCTCACATCTGCCTAGAAGGGCCGCGGTCAGTATTTCCTCTTAGAGTTAAGTTTAATCATGGAGACACTGAGAAAACTCCCAGTCAAAACTCTCCACTTTCTAGTTTAAGTAAACGGAGGTCAATTCCCCAAAAACATTGGGTATGCCACAAGTTGATGCCGCTGCAGAGCCACCAGGTAACCCAGTGCAGCCCTGCAGCCCCTTCCCTTCGAGTCCTCTGGGCCCTGGTGACGTAGGCTCAGAAAACGATGCCGACCTCAGGCCTTACCTCTCCTAAGAGAAGGCCACACAATCTTCCAGAATCTTCTGGCCCATGAATCTCAGTTGCTGTGTGGAAACCAAAACAGAGAAAGACACTTCTTAGTTAAAGAGGAAAAGTGCTCTGTTAGCCCTTAGAAATTTTCAGAACTTCCTGTGGGAGCTAAAAAGCTCAGGATAAATTTCCACCTACAGTCATGACTTTATTAAATGCCTGGGCAAGAAGCAAGGGGCCCACTTATCCCCCCTTCAGTTGTCCCTGAGCTGATAAAGCTTCAACTCTCCAATATGGAGGCATGAGCCTGGATTGGAGAGAGAGTACTGGCTTGGAGAAGGCACAGCTCCCTCAGCAGACCCAGCCCCTGCTCACTTCCTGTCCTTTGGAGAATGAAACACATAGCCTGGACGTTGGCTCCAGGGTCTCCTCATGCCAGGGTCTTCCCCTGTGGGCTGCTCCTCTTCATTTTCCTTTTCTTCTTCCTCCTCTTTCTCTTTCTCCTTCTTCTCCTCCTTCTTCTCCTGGGTGCTCTCTGATTCCACTGTGCCTGTCAGCTGAGCCATGGTGAGATGAAAGACGTGGCAGCTGAAGCCCTCCCTGATCCCAAACTGCACGTGCTCCTGGAGGCTCTCCAAGGTGGAGAAGACCCGGCAGCAGGCCATGCACCTGAAGCCCATGTCCATGGTCACCAGCCAGTCAGGTGTCTTGGCCCTGGGTCTCTCCTCCACTGCGGGTGACCCTGGCGGGCTGTTTGACTCTGTCCTTTCCTCATGCTCTTTCTCCTCCCCACTGGGCTCGCTGTCAGACAGGAGGTTTCTGGTGGAAATATCAGAGGGGGGAGTACCTACCCGCACGTCCTCAGGAAGGGTCATTTCTTCCATCCTCGGCTGCTTTTCTAGTGACTCTGAGGTTTCCTCTGTCTCCCAGGAGACAGCCACACCCTTTTTCATTTGTACCTGCATGTAGTATATTTTCATGCCCCTTTCCTCTTTGTTTATACACAGAGAGGACACACAGGTCTTATAGGATGAAGGGGACGAGAAGGAGACATGTGGTGAGGGGGGAGCAGTCTCCCCTTGTTCCTGAACCTGGGCTAGGGGTGTTGTAGGCTGGGGACTGTCTCGATGTAATCCCCGGATTCCTGGGAAAGGAAATTAGAAACATAAGAACACGCATGGGCACGACCCATGCTGGGGCATGACAGAAACTGAGGGAACATGTGAGAATATGTCTGGTATAGGAGAGAGGGACTGTGGTGTGATGTAGTTGTGTGATGAGCTCGGTGGTGGCGTTCATATTATGGGGTAGTGTATCTGGTATCATCTGTGGGTTTTTCATTTGTGTGTGGAGGGATACTGAGGGGCATCTGCATAGAGGGGTGTGGAGGATGGTGGTGAGGGCTGTGGTATGTGGGATGCTGTGGGGGGCGTGCTATGAGAAGGATGTGAGTTTGTGATATCATTGGCATGTTATTGGTGGAATGTGGGCTAGAGTGCAGGAGAATGACATTGTGGGTCATGTGTTTGGGTTTTGTGTGTGTGTTGAGAATGGATACGTGTAGAGTGTGGTTGTATGTGTGAGGTGTGTGGGCCTGAGCTGGATGGTCCCACTCCCATGCAGGAGGCCTGTGCTAAAGAATTCTGTCCTTCTCGGGGAGCAGAGGAAAAGGCAAAGCTTATATACTCCTCTGAAGGTGCTTAATCAGGTCCCTCTGCCTTGCACCTTGAGCCCAGATCTTTCTGGCCCCTGCTCCTTAACTTCCCTACCGTGGTTCCACCAGGGCTCACGCTCTCCCATACTGAGTTCATATCCACACTCTCCTAACAGCTCTGCCCTCCTGCCCAGGCTCCTCCACAGAGCCCTGGTCACTTGATTGCCTTGGGTTTCCTCTCACCTCCCTTGGATCTGTGTGCTTCGCACCCCACACCCAATGAGTCCCGCACCCAAGGAGCCCTGCACCCTTACCACCACGGATGAGCTTGCGTGGAGAAGAAACGCAGGAGAAGTATTCGGAGGCAGAGGAGGCCTCCCCTACCCTTAGGCCTGAGTCTTTGGCCACCCCAGTGGATCCAAGCTGAGGGGCATCCTCTTGTGACTTCGAGATTCCTGAGGAAGGTATGAAAGCCTCAGAGATACGGTGGGTTGGACATGTTTGTCCATCATTCATCTGTCCAAATATTTAGGGAGTGTCTGACATATGTCAGGTGCAGTGAATACTCATGGTTTAGAGTCTGGTTCCTGGTGGATACTGCAGTATTTAATTAAAATCAACAATTACTCTGTTAGTGTCTGGTTAGGAAGGTAGGCCTGTGTGCTGACCGTGAATATGTCTGTGAAAGTGATGTGTATCAGCTAAGTCTTGGATAAGTATGGAGTTGGTGTGGTGAGTAGGGAGGAAATGTGTGTATCTGTGCCTGTGGAGAGTTTGTGTGCATGATTTGTGTTCACAACTCAGAAATTACAGGACATATAATTTTCATGATTATATGGTATGGCTTGTATTTATGGTGTGTATTCATTCATTCATTCATTCATTTGACAATATTCAGTGAGCAGCTAATATGTACCAGGCACTATTCCACTATTGTAGGCTCTGGTAATGTTGAATATTCTAGTAGAGGAAGGTGTACACTAAACAGAAATACAATAAGTATATAATATGTCAGCTGGTGGTAAGTATATAACGGTTAGCAGATTTAGCAAACAGAAATAAAAGACACCTAGTTAAATTTAAGTTTCAGATAAACCATGAATAATTTTTTAATGTAAGTATTCCTACTCAATTTTGGGGTCTTCTTTTTTTTTTTTTTTTTTTGGTGAGGAAGATTGTCCCTGAGCTAACATCTGTGCCAATCTTCCTCTATTTTATATATGGAATGCTGCCACAGCATGCCTTGATACACAGTGTGTAGGTCCACACCTGGGATCCAAACCCATGAACCCTGGGCCACGGAAGCAGAGTGCACAAACCTAACCACTATGCCACTGGACTGGGCCTGGGTCATACTTATTTTTAATGTAAGTATGTCCCATACAATATTTGGGACATATGCATACTAAAAAATTATTCATTGTTCATCTGAAATTCAAATTTAACTGGACATCCTTTGTTTTATCTGGCAACGCTGATAACAGTTGGTGAATCTGTTTTATTGTGGTTGTGCAAAGTGAGTCTGGCATTATTACACAATGTGTCATGAGTGCGGAATATATGACAAGTGACTGGTTCTTATAGAGGTCCTTAGGGATAGTTGAAGGTAGCTGTTTGTTGAGTTGAGAGTTGAGGAGATACATATATATTGTGCACATATATATATATATATATAATCTTCAGAGTTTGGTGTAGGAGGAGAGGACGGTAATACACACGTATAGTATGTGAACGTAGTATAGGAGTGATGTACATATATACCTATACACTCTGTGTGTGGTTTAATAAAGAAGTTGCATGTGGAGATGTACAGGTTTTCTCTGTATCAGAGTGTATATGGGTTACTGTCTCGTGGAAGACCCCTTAACAAGAATTCTCTTTACACTTGTACACGTATTGAGCGTCACGTATTGAGGTTCAGGCATGGTGACGGGAACCTTACCACTCCGACTTCCTATCTGATGAGCGCTCTATGCCCATTCTCCCTATTGCTCCCCAGCCACCACACACACACATAGACAAAAATATTCTCAAGAGGAAGGGGCAGGAGCAATCGCTGCCTTCCCCGTCCTGCCACAGCTGTTGCTTAAAACTCTGCCTACTGTCCCAGCCTCCATCCCAGGGCTTATCCTACAGTTGTCTGGACCCTGGGCCTCGTGGAAGCTGCTGGGCTCTAATTTGGGGTGGAAGCCTCCCACAGGATCTCTGGGGTGGCCTCCATTCTGCCTTCCTCCTACCTGTGACACCCTCTTTCTCAGGGTAAGCTACTTGTTTAATGCATGCAGTCACCATGTGGCCTGGGAGTAAATCCACGGCTCTCAGAGCACCCCTCAGGGCCCTGACAATATTTCTCACCCCTATGCATGTGGTCTCAGTCTCCGGAAGGCCCCTCCCTTCCCCAATCTCCTCTAGGACGCCCGCCCCTGTGGATTCCCATGCATGAACTGGTAAACTCTTCCTGCTGAAGGAACAAAATCTCCAAGCTTTCCATATGACACCATCCCTAGACAAACTCTTCATCTCCTTCCTAACAGGCGTTTCACTTCTCAAGATATTTTTCAACAAGGCCTTTAACTCATTGGGCTTCTCTTTCCTCTTTGGTAAATGGAACAGTGCTACTTGTGAATCTCTATCAGCTCCCTTCACACCCTCCACCCAGAGATCCCAGGGAAAGATCAAATAAAGAGAATAGGAGAGAACGTGGGGATGGAGAAAAACTGCCCCTCTGAGCAAGTGGGATCCCAGCCTGCTATCAGTCCGACATAGCTCCAGCCACAGGCAGCCCCAGGAGAGAAGTCCTCAGACCAGCAGGGCTGACCTTCTGTCTTAGGGGCATCTGAACTTTCCATGCCATCTCATACCACGATTGCCCACAGGATGGACACGGCAGCCTCCGCCGATACCAGGACTCTCCCTCCCTACTGCGTAGGTGACACGTTCTCCTCAATCCCACTTTCCAAGAGAAGGCCCAGACCGGCCAGCCACCCTAGAGCCACAGACAAGTTGCCCAGCACATACCTCCTCCCTTCTCAGCAGTTTCCTGGGACTCTTCATCTTCCAGATGTTTCCTCTTTTGTCGACGTTTCATAGTAGCAGTTTGAAGAGTCTCTTAGGAGAAGATGCCTAATGTCCAGCTTCTCCTTCTCCCTACAGGTTGGCCTTCAGGAAATCCGTTGAAATGACTCAATACTAATAAAAATAATCGAGTCTCCGAAATAGGTGAAGAACTCAGGCCACCTGGTGAACCAGAAGCACTGCCCAGGGCTCACTACAGCGCAGGGCTGTTAAGGTTCAAAGGTTGCCAGGCCCACAGCAGTGACCTCAACGATGACATCAGAGCATTCTGTGGACCTGCATCCAACACAGTCTGTGCAACTGCAGAGACCACATTTTCAAGAACAATTCCTTTTTCCCCAATGGAACCTCTCCCATGAATTCAACTCTCACATCTTTCAAATGTGGCAGGATATTTTGAGATGTTAATCTATTCCTGTTTAATTTTTTTCTTTTCTCCCTTTATTTCACCCTTTCCCTTCTGCATTCAAAAGGGTAGCAGACTTGGTGTTCATTGGCCAGAGGAGGGGCATGGCAGGGCTGAAAGCAACAGTAGCATGCTGATAATCTTGGCTTTTATTTCTAAAATCCCAAACACCATAGAAAAGAGAGGATACTTGAGGAGAAACATAACAGAAGCAGAATTTTTTGAAATTAGGAATTCCCTTCTTACCCTACTAGAGTGTTGTGAGATGCTAAGTCAGAGAGATGTCTGTGGATCATAGGGGAGAAGGGGCCTCTCAAATGTGGCTGGAGAGGTAAGTGTGGCAAAAACTCCAAGAGGAGATGGCTGTATTGGGCGTACAAGCAGAATCATGGCAACAAGTCCCTTACAAGGCACAGAAGCCACCAAACCTGAAGGAGGCATGGCAACTGAGCTGATGGACATCTAACCTACAACTCTGTGCTCCAATAACCAGAGACGATGCTCTTACCCAATCCTCAAAACCTTGGCCCTGTATGATTTCCAAAGAGGGATGGGTGGAACTCCAAACTGGACACCAGTAGGATTAAGGTTTAAAATACAAATTAAGTGGAGTTATAAAAAAAAGTCGTACTATTTCTTGCATACCTCTCCTTGTGGGCTGAAATTTATACTGGTTATAAGTGGCAACCCATCTGGATCCTCCTGATTCTGATCTAAAATCAGAGAACCTCATTTTGAGGCCATGGCCATGATCCAGTGGGAGGGCTGGGGTGCAGCGATGAGGGAGACTCCCAGGAGTCACTACTGACGTTAGGAATGCTAGTGGACTAAGGTGGGAACAAATCTGAAAGGGTACTAAAGAATGCCTAAAAGCCTTGGGCAGAGGGAGAGTGAAGATACCATAAATGCAGCCTTATAAGGATTTGCTGATGAGATTAAATCTTCCCGTCTCTCAGAGAATCTTCAGAAAAGAAGCAGCAAAGAGGATTTTTTTTTTAACTTTTTGCAGTAGAAAGTTTCAAACATACACAAAGTAAAGAGAATTGTGTAATGGAAGGGCCGCTCCCCGTATGCATCACCCACTTTCAACAATTACCAATATTCTGTCGTTATATTCTGTCCACGCCCCTACACACGCACACACAAACATACTCTCTTAGCTTTTTGTTCATTTATTTTATTTTAGGTATGTTTTGGGTGGGGGGGTGGGTTGGGAGAGGTGCCGTATTTTAAAGCATATCTCAGACTTTGGGTTATTTCTCCTTAAATGCAGCAATATTTATCTCCAACAGATAAGAACTTTTTCTTTCTCTTTTTTTGTAAAGTTATACTTTTTGGTGAGGAAGATTGGCCCTGAGTGAACATCTGTGGCCAATCTTCCTCTTTTTTTTTCCTCCCCAAAGCTCGAGTACATAGGTGTACATCCTAGGTGCAAGTCATTCCAGTCCTTCAAGGTGGTATGCCACCACAGCATGGCTTGATGAGAGATGTGTAGGTCCACACCCAGGATCTGTGCCAGCAAAACCTGGGCCCCTCAAGTGGAGCACAGGGACTTAACCCCTTGGCCACAGGGCAGCCCAGAGAACTTTTTTTTAACATAACAGTAATATCGTTATTTCACCCAAGAAATTTAACCATAATTCCTTCATATCACTTAATAACCAAGCCACACTCAATCTCCTCTAACCATGTTAAAATGCCTTTTTTATACCTGGTTCACTGAAATCAAGATCCAAATAAGGTCCACACATTGCAATTGGTTGATATGTCTTTTGGTCTACAACAGTTTTCCTTCCCTTTTTTTTTTGCTATTTTTTTTTTTAAGAAACTACATTGTTTATCCTATAGAATTTTCCACCGTTTGGAGTTGGTTGATTGTATTCCTGTGATGTCATTTAAGATGTTCCCCTATTACCTGTATTTCCTTGCAAACAGGTGGTTAGAGCTAGAGAATTTATTAGATTTAGATTCACTTTCTTATTATCCTAAGATTATCTTATAAGTGATGCTGTGTACCTTCCTATTACATCACAACAAGCACATAAAGTTGTCCCAGTTTTAATGATGCTAAGATTGATCAGTGTATTCGAGTGCTGTCAACTTGATCCCTCGACTACAATGTTCTCCATCAGCCTTTCAACAAATAGCATTAGTAACTACTGATGATCATTATTTCATGAGGAATTGAAATTTCATTAGAAGTTCTAATTCCATTCTTCCAAAGAGGATAATTCTTAAGCCATCTTTCTTAGACCCTGAATTTCTGAAAGAACTGAACATCTTTTCAGAAAAGGAAAGTTGATTCCAATGGCACCAGCTCAGGTTCTCTAAGTTGGGACCAACAGGGTTTATCACAGCAAGTCCAAGCTAGGGTGGGACATACTTAGTCGATCCTTCATTTCTTCATTCTATAAATATTTACTTATTTATTTATTTTTAAATGATAGTTATGTGATGTGATGCAGGTGTTAGCTCATGCTGTGGTGGTGATCATATTGCAATATATGTGTATCAAATGGACATGTTGTACACCTTAAACTTACACAATGTTATACATCAACTATATCTCCATTTTTAAAAGAATTTAATAATTTATAACTGAAGAACTAGACCTGACAAGTATAGATGTAGAGTTACATTCCTTTTTTCTTTTTTCTTTTTTTATTGAGTTCATAATAGTTTACATCATTGTGAAATTTCATTCGTACATATTTCTTGCCTGTCACCACGCAAGTGCTCCCCTTCACCCCCTGTGCCCACCTCGAACCCCCTCCCCCTGTAACAACTGAACTGTTTTCTTTGTCCATGTGTTTGTTTATATGCCACACAAGAGTGAAATCATATGGTGTTTGTCTTTCTTGTTTGGCTGATTTTGCTTAGCATAAGTCCCTCCAGATCCATCCATGTTGTTGCAAATGGGATGATTTTGTCTTTTTTATGGCTGAGTAGTATTCCATTGTATATATATACTATATCTTCTTTATCCAATCGTCAGACAATGGGTACTTGGATTGTTTCCATGTCTTGGCTGTTGTGAATAGTGCTGCAATGAACACAGGGATACATATGTTACTTTGGATTGTTGATTTCAAGTTGTTTGGGTAGATACCAATAGTAGGATAGCTGGGTTATATGGTATTTCTATTTTTAGTTTTTTGAGGAATCTCCATACTGTTTCCATACTGTTTTCCATAAACTGGTGGAACGCTGCCCCAGTTTGCATTCCCACCAGTAGTGTATGAGTGTTCCCTTTTTGCCACATCCTCTCCAACATTTGTTGTTTTTTGTCTTGGTAATTCTATAAATATTTATTGAGTCTCTACTGTGTACCAGGCTCTCTAGACACTGTAGTCGAACATTTATGAACAAAACAGATAAAAGGATTTTCTTTCAAAGAGCTTAATTCTAGAGGAGAAAATAGAAAATTTTTAAAAATAAGTAAAATATGTAGTAGGTTGGATACTGACAAGTATCATGCAGAAAAATAAAGCAAGAGTCTGAGCTTGGGACTATAAGAAATGGGGGCATTTCTATGTTAAATGAGAGGTCATGGAAGTCTTCACTAAACAAGCCCAGTTTCAGTAAGACCTGAGGGCACTAAGAGAGCTTAGAGCCAACACTATATTTTCCAGGCAAAAAGAAGAGGCTAGAGTCCTGGATCAGGGGTTGCTTGACTTATTTGAATATCATCAAGGAAGCCAGTGCGGCCAGAGCCGAGGGAGAGAGAGTAGTGGGAAACGAGGTCACAGAGATAATGAGGGACCAGATTATGTAGGGTCTTATAGGCTAATGTCAGGACTTTGGCTTTAACTCTGAGTGACATGGAAAGCTTGCAGAGGTTTGAGTGAGAAATTACATTTGAAAAGATCACTCTGATTGCTCCGGTAAAAATAGATGATTGGGAGGCACAGGCAGAATCAGAGAGAACAGTGGATCTATTGCAACAATCCAGGAGAGAGATAATCCATAAAAGGAAAAATAGATAAACTAGACCTCATCAAAATTAAAACCATTTGCTATGGAAAAGATCCTCTTAAGAGTACCAGAGGACAAGCTACAGACAGGGAGAAAATATTTGCAAACCACATATCCAACAGAGGAGTAATATCTAGAATATATAAAGAACTCTCAGGCTCAGCAGTAAAAAAATAAACAATCCCAATTAGAAATGGACAAAAGACATGAAAAATGTTTCACTGAAGAGAACAACAGGTGGCAAATAAATACGTAAATGATGTTTAATACTGTTAACCATTAGGAAAACGCAAATGAAAACCACAGCAAGCTATCACTACACACCTATCAGAACAGCTATGGGATTCAGGTAAAGAATGAGCTTGCTTCTCTCAACAAGTTTTTCTTAGCATCTCTGCAAGTCTCCTTGGAAGGCACAGTAGATAAAACCCCTTGCTATCTACAGGAGAGCAAATAAGTTAACACTGGAGAAAACATTTCATAAATCACATCTGCTGCATAAATGTGAGGAGAAACAGTTACCCTCAGGAGCTGCTGAATACTTTTAAACTAGAATGGTCCTTGAAATTCTCTAATCCAACTTAAGGTTCTAGTACCAATTCCAATGTGGGAGGTCAGGGGGTTCCTCGTGCCACTAAGAAATTCCTGGACACCAGCAGGGTGTCTTAAAGTGCAACTCAATTCTGACACTTACTACCCAGGGATAGCATAAGATTCCACAGGGTAAGAGCTCAGTGCTACAACACTGGTCCCCTGACACACAAACACACTTCAGACACCAGTCACAAATCCAGTTTGTCACCTGTGCTTCTGACTGACCAGCTACATAGATCAG